CAAACTGGCCGGGGGGGGGGGCGTGTAGGGGGGGCACTAAACGGACGCCTGAGGCCTCACCGGAGAATCATGCTGGTCCCGCATACACAGACACACGCACACTCAGAGATACACAGACACACACACACATGCGTGTGCATTCAGAGACACACACGCACACAGGGGCACACAGAGACACGCAGAGACACACAAACACACACAGGCACACAGAGACATGCAGAGACACACACACACACACATGCCAAGGGGGACCTTCTCCAGCCCCACCTCCCCCCCCCCCAAGGCTTACCTCAGAGGGGGTGTCAGTGCTCCCAGTGGCAGATACACAGTGTTTCACTTTCTTTCCTACTTTCATATTCCTGTAAGTAAAAAGGTCTGCGGAAGCAGCTCTTTGGTTTTTAAGGTCAGAATGAGACAGGAAAGAATATAAAGAGCCGAAGCTGGAGGCTGAGGTGCCGTTTGGTCCTGACCTCTGGGGGAACTCGACCTTGACGCTGGCGAGGCGACATGGACACCAGATTAAGTTTCCTAATTCACATGTTGGAAAAAATGGCTAAATGAGCGGGTCAAAGGTCAGCTACCCCTACTTTATAAAGCACTTAGCGGCCAGACAAGAGCATTTACAGCGGGGGAGCCTGCAGGGCGATTCGGGCCAAACCATGATTAAAAACCATTTCTTTGTAATGGGAGCGGACCACCAGAAACGAGCCCAATTAAATGGGGGGTGGGGGATACGTGATGATGGGGTCCCAGCAAGCGTCCCTGTGTTAGGAGAAGCAGAACAGTCAGAATGCCTGAATCTGTGCTCCTCCCCTGGGCGCGGGATCAGGCAGAGGGCATCCATGAGCGGCAGAGGCCGGGGGTGGGGCGTACCAGACCTGACTGTAATGATGTTACCTGCTGCTAGATGAACACAGTGACACTCGCACACTCCCTCTGTACACACAGACAGAGAGAAAGGTATACACAGCATCAGGAGGGTTGGCGTCTTCCTCTTTACGTCTGCATGTTCCTCTTTACAGCTGTGTGTTCCTTTTTACACCCCCATGTTCCTCATTATGCCTGCCTGTTCCACTTTACAACTGCATGTTCTTTTTTATGCCTGCCTGTTTCTCTTTACATCTACATGTTCCTCCTAACACCTGTGTGTCCCTTTTTATGCCTGCATGTTCCTCTTTATGCCAGCATGTTCCTCTTTACACTTGCCTGTTTCTCTTTACATCTACATATTCCTCTTTACGCCTGCTTGTCCCTTTTTACGCCCGCATGTTCCTCTTTATGCCAGCCTGTTCCTCTTTATGCCTGCATGTTCCTCTTAACACCTGTGTGTCCCTTTTTACGCCCTCATGTTCCTCTTTATGCCAGCATGTTCCTCTTTACGCCTGCGTGTACCTCTTAACACCTGCTTGTCCCTTTTTACGCCCGCATGTTCCTCTTTATGCCAGCCTGTTCCTCTTTACTTCTGCTTGTTCCTCTTTACACTTGTATGTTCCTCTTTACACCTGCGTGTTCCTCTTTATGCTTGTGCGTTCCTCTTTACACCTGCGTGTTCCTCTTTACTTCTGCCTGTTCTTTACGCTTGTGTGTTCCTCTTTACTTCTGCCTGTTCCTCTTTACGCTTGTGTGTTCCTCTTTACGCGTGTGTGTTCCTCTTTACACCTGCGTGTTCCTCTTTACTTCTGCCTTTTCTTCTTTACGCTTGTGTGTTCCTCTATACACCTGCGTGTTCCTCTTTACTTCTGCCTGTTCCTCTTTATGCTTGTGTGTTCCTCCATACACCTGCGTGTTCCTTTTTACTTCTGCCTGTTCCTCTTTAAGCTTGTGTGTTCCTCTTTACGCCTGTATGTTCCTCTTTACGCCTGTGTGTTCCTTTTTACGCCTGCCTGTTTCTCTTTACATCTACGTGTTCCTCTTTACGCCTGCCTAATATGCTGACCCCCTTCCTTGCAGGTGAAACAGTAAATGATACTGGTTATGATTAAAAAGGGATGGTTTGGGGGCCTTGGGTGGACAGGGACGTGTGATGCACTGAATGCGGCTTGGCTTTCATTGTGCTGCTCTATCGCTTCCTGTTACAAAAATGCACGTGGGGGAGGGGGGGGGGAGTTAAAAATCACTGTGGATCATTTACAGTGCTCCGTAAATTGGTCTGGGATTTCTTCCACTCAGTGTGAAACCTTAGCAAAATGGTTTGCTGCCCCCACCTTATTATGTCGAAATGAACTTATTACAAACAAATTTTTCCTCGGGGGCTGTTCTTATAATTTTCAATTAGGTGAGACAAGGCAGTGGGCCCAGGAAGACCATGGCCTCAGTCCTGGCCTGACACACACTGAGAGTGTGTGCGTGTGTGAGTGAGTGTGTGTGTATATATATGTTTATGTTTGTGTATATGTTTGTGTGTGTGTGTATATGCTTGTGTGTGTATGCTTGTGTGTGTATATATATGTTTATGTGTGTGTATATGTTTGGGCGTGTGTGTATTTGCTTGTGTGTGTATGTGTATGTGTGTATATATATGTTTATGTGTGTGTATATGTTTGCATGTGTGTGTGTCTGTGTGTATTTGTGTATATTTGTGTGTGTGTATGTGTGTGTCTGTGTGTATATGCTTGTGTGCGTGTGTATGTGTGTGTCTGTGTGTATATGCTTGTGTGTGTAAGTGTGTGTGTGGGGGGGAGGGTTCTGCATGTAGGGCTGTACCAACATTTTCAGTAATTACATAGTCACACCTCTTAAAAACTGACCAGATACAACAGTAAATAACTTCAAGATGGCGGACAGCAGGAAGGCTGTCTAGTCTGAAGCATTAGCATTGAGCATCAGGACATCAGGTTCTTCTACCCTCAGAGCCTGGAAAGAAGTAAGTGCCCCCCCCCCAAATGAGAAGTGATAGCAAGCCTGAGAGTGTGTCCAGGCGCCCCCGCCACCCCGTTTCGCACCCCCCAGTCCTCTGGGCTAGTCAGCTCCAGGCTGTCCTGCAGGATGTGATGCGGGAGTGTGTGATTCTGCTACAGGGCCAGAGCCCACCCATCAATAATCGGGAAACACACAAACCCCGCAAGGCTGCCGGAGGCTTCCCCCAGCCGTCAGG